TCTACAATCATGTTTTATTTTATTTGGGCAGTAAAGTCAATGAGGTACTTAAAGCTTTTATCACTCGCTTAACATTCCAGTCGGTGCAACACATTACTTAATTTATATTGCAAATGGACAGGGCTAAAGACGTTTCCATTAACTGGACTGTCTCCCATCGAGCTCCGCTTCCTAGTCCATTATTGGAGATCAATATCAGGGGGGTGGGAGGATGCACCTGCATGTTTAGCAGTCCAAATCTGACCAATGACAGCCAGCACAGTTGGTACAGTAGCCTATGGGAGTGGGAGAGACTGCATGAGTGATGTGTTGACAGTAGTTAGGTAGAGAGTGCTTCATCAGAGGCTGTGTGTACCAACAGGCGCTGGGCCCACAGTCCATCAGAGGGTCCTGGGGGAAGTCCATTTACACCTGCCCCACTGCCCGTAATGGGGGGGAATTAATCACGGGTAGCAGGTGAACACACAGACACACACTCACACAGACACTAGGCTGCTGAAACCCATCGGAGCACATGTGATATGCCCACAAAGTACACCCGTGCTCACGTTTTACACACAGTCTGAGTATTTCCACACACACACACACACACACACACACACACACACACACACACACACACACACACACACACACACACACACACACACACACACACACACACACACACACACACACACACACACACACACACACACACACACACACACACACACACACACACACACACACACACACACCTCTGACCGTAGAAGGGAATCTCTGGAGCCGTTATCTTACCCAAACAACAAGTGTTATACTCCCCCTAATGTGTGTGTGACTCATGTATGACAAATCTACTCAGGCTCGCAGGCTGTTGTAGGGGATCATGAGAGGCTCATGAGAACACACACATACACACACACACACACACACACACACACACACACACACACACACACACACACACACTGGGATGGCCTCCGGGACAGCGACCTGTCCAATGCTTTACGCGACACCTGCGCCAACCAATGAGACGCATTTCATCTCAGTGGACGGACCAATAGGATTTAGGATTGGGGGAGTATTAGCGTGCGTTTATAAAAATTCATGTCAGCTGAGATGTCCCAGATTAGATGGTTTAGATCTGTAGAAAAGCCAGATGTAGTGAAGGGCACTTTAATGTGGGAACGTGCAGGCTGTCAAACACAAGCTAAACATGGTTGACTTCCTCTTTTCATTTCATATCGGAAATACTAAAAGATTAGGAGAGCTTCCGGTTAACACCATTCAAGAGGTTAATTGCATGATTTATGAATGACATCCTCCATTTCTTTATCCCTTTTGACAAACTGGACATGTTGGTGAAATGTCCGAGCAGCAATGCAGCTTTAGATTTCCAATGAACAGGTGCATATCTAGGGATGTGCTGTCGAGCAAACATCCAATTAATAACAAATCTACCTTGAAAACCACTCAAATAAATCAATTTGTAGAGTTGGTGCAAGTTCATCAATGTTTGCGGTCAGGCTCTGAGCTGAGGAAACCCTCAGGATTGAGTGAAGGTGTGTGTGCAATATACCGGCGGGCCAGATATAATAGTAATGAAAAATTATCCTGCTGGCTGAAATTAAATCCGGGGCCTGATTTGGCCCCCGGGCCTTGAGTTTGACACATGTGGTTTACAGCAACCGAATGCTAAAACATATTCAATTGCAGCTTAATTAACTGTGATTACACTTACAACGACTGTTTTAGATAATTGTGCTGTGACTACAATGAGCCAAAAATAACCTGGCTGTGAAAGAACTTAAAGGGGACCTATCATGCAAAATGCACTTTTGTACGTCTTGTATACATGAATATGTGTCCCCGGTGTTCCAGGGAACTCACCAAGTGTCAGAAAACACAACCCTCTCTATTTTCCTCCATACCCAAATCTCTAAAAAAGGGGCTGCAACGGATCTGATAAAAACTGATCCAGATTTGAACACGTTACTGATGTCAGGACAGTGGCGCTACGGCTATTGGGCCAACTCTCCACCTATCAGGGGAATGTGGGGTTTGGCCACGGCCGGCCATTGCCGTTCGAAAGCGCTGGAGACGCTGTAGTACATATGCCAGGCCTGTAAGTGGCGCTGTAGTCTGCCACAAAAGCAGCGAAGAAGACTTCCCGCCCATAGTTACCATGGTTACCCTTCTGTTTATTCTCCGCTGTGGCTTTTTTTCTCCCTCCCCGAGGCAAGCGTTTGCTCCCGCTGCAAACGCTTGCTTGAGGCAAGCACTGTAATTCTCTCCGGTTAGTCCACCAGCAGATGACAAACACCCACCTCTCCGCCTCTTCCAAGGAACGAGGGGACCGTGCGGCAGAGTTTCAGTTTCAGTTACTTTCGCCGGTCAAGATGTCCGTTAAAGTTTAAATCTTCCGGCCAAAATTAGAAAAGTGCCGGTCAAAGGTCTTCTTTGTTATTTATTGAGCTTTAAAACAAATGAATAACGACTCTATATAATAAAACACGGAGGACGGAGATCTCTTTTTCTCCCCCTCTTCTGACAGCCCAGCAGCTGATCAGAGCACGTCTCCCCTCTCCTGTAGGGGGGCGTGGTCAGCAGAATCAGACCCGTAGACAGCAAACAGCACATAGAGCGAAATGAGGCATGGCTAAAATGCATGATCTGTTTGGTATTTTGAAAACAGAAACGTATAAATATACCTTATATAGGTATGGCCCTACAATATATCATTTAAATATAGCATGATAGGTCCACTTTAACTTAGTTTTTTTGTATGTGATAAATGAAGTTAGGTTATTGGAAACCGCCCCATCAGACCGTTCAATAACGCCTCTTTTTCAAATGGCGGTGAGTGACCTTAAGATGAAAAACCCAGGATGAAAAACATACTTAACTCAAATATTTAATGATTACAATCGGCTTTACAATTATACTGGAGAAGTTTTAATTGAGAGGAATAAGAAATATTGATTATATCATGATAGATTCAGTAATTTGATGCAAAGAAAGCCTAAGTATTGCCTAATGACGTAGTTAATCATTAATTTAGCACCAATGGACAAGAGTCTACTGCCAACACTACATCACTCATCATGTCAACTTGAGGTCAAGCATCTCCACAGTCAGTGTCCATCACACTGAAGTATGCTTGTGCCAATCACTGTTAGCTGAAGAGATACACCTGACATCTGTGCACATCAAATCAGTTTCATATTGTTTCTATTATGTGTTTTGGGGGGTTTCTCTTCACTGTAGTGTGTTGTAATGGTTGTTCTGCATGTACATGGTCTGCAAAGGCTAACATCCCAAAGTACACACTTCCCCTTAAACATAGTGACATCACTAGGTAACACTCGCGCTTCTATCGGCTAGTGCTCCAACACATTGTACGTGATAGGCTAAGGGGCAGGACATCTCTAAGTGGTTGAGCAATCACAACAGAGCCGGCCAGCTAACCAATCAGAGCAGACTGGGCTCTGGTTTCAGACAGAGGGTGAAAAGAGGTGCTGCAGCACAGGCAGTATGAGAGAAATAAAGAGCTTTTTGAACATTAAAGCATGGAGACATGTCCCAGCAGAGACACAAAAAATACAAATATGAACCTGAAATTGAGCAGAGAAAGATACCAAAACTGTCAGTTTTAAAATTGGAAGTGTTGCTTTATAGTAAGTTGCTTGTGAAAGAAACCAATTGTATTGAGCCTAAACAAATGTAAGTAGACACAGTGGAAATGACATTTCAAAAAAGGTTTGGGGCGGCTCCTCACAACATCTGAACCTTCCTGCTGTCTGGATATAATATGCGTGAAGATGATCTGAGGTTTCCTGCCTCTGGGTGTCCTGGACGCCCCGCTGAGGTCGTGACACGCAGCACCATCTCGTGACGAGACGGTCCTCTTGGCTTCCTACCAACGCCCTGCAGACCGAGGCCATGTGTCTGCTCGCTTGTCTGTGAATAATTGCTCTTCGCCGTCCCCCGCCTTCACTCTTTTTACGTCATCTGTCTCTCATGTCTTGCACTCTGTGGACTTATCTTTTATCTACTTTGCACAATACACTTTTTTTTCCTCGATTTCATTTTCCTCTGTTTCTGTTTCTACTCTTTCTCACTGTTGCTCAGAGACCCTGCAGCCAGGATGACTATCCCCGTCGATGAGCGGCTCTTCCAGTGTCTCATGAAGAAAGGGAAGCAAACGCTGACCAATCATTCATCACACCACCAAAGGAAACGACTTTACTAACCGTCCGACCGACAAGAACAACACTCAAAATCACTTCAGTGTCACAAACACGATACAATTCACAATTCAGTAGCTCCAGGGGATTGGTTTAAAAGTGCTAATTGAGAAAGTCTCCCATGAACCCGTGCTGAAGCTGCGGTTTGCAAAGATGTCCCAAGAAAACCTCAAACTCAGGAATAAGTCTTGTTACTAGATGTAACATCATGTTTAATACCGTCTGCAGGGCTGATGTGCCTCTGTGGCTAAAACTCTCATCAATAATTGCTATTCTGTGGGCAGACTGAGTTACTCAAACTAAAATACAAGACATCTCGGCATGTAGTATGATGCATAAATCATAAACAGCCGTGACCCTGCGCTCGTGACTTGTTTTTTAAGATTGTGGAGTGACTTCATACTTGATGGAGAAGGAAAGTGAAAGGAAAGAGGGGAAGGAGGGGTTGTGGAGAAGCTGAAATGAGGCACACTTGTGTAACGGGATGGCTTCTGAAGCAGACTTGATGCTAACGTGAGAGAAAGAGTGGAGACATCGGCATAGAGAATAGAGGGATTTTTTACTTTTAAGGTAAGATGTCCTCACAGTGATCTGGATCTACTGATGTCCAAATCCTCTGTGTGGACTCATAGTGTCGTCCCTGTCACTCAGACGGATTAATGACTGAGAGCAGGGAGGGATTTTCATTCTGCATGCACTGGCATTCTTACATTTCAAATACCGTATGCATGCAAACACGTAAAAAGACGTACAAACTAAAAGAGAACTCACCTTCCGATCATAGTAGAGTGCTGCTGGACGGCAGCCTCCAGGAGGCGCTCGAGGATGGTCCACTCCCCCATGTTTGGAGTCAGGAGCATCCAATGGAAAACAGAAAATCAGGAAGGGGACTTTGCTGTGAGCCGGGCACCAGAGTCTTCTGAGTCTTCAAGTCCACTTGTTGGCTTGAGAAGAGGTAGGGAGTGGCTTGTCCGGTGTACAAAGATGAGTCAAAGGCAACCTTTCAAGGAAGCTCAGTGGCACCTTTTGTTACACACACGCCCGTAACTGCACCTGAGATGGTTGGACTGAAGCTCCTCTATGTGCATACACCTATTTTCTGTGTGTGTTATTCTCTGTTAATGCACCTCCTTTGGGTGCACCTGACCCTGTTTACCTCCTGAAACAGCTGGTCGGCATATGTTCTCTCTCTCACTCTCTCTCTCACACACACACACACACACACACACACACACACACACACTTCTAGTGAGTTTCAAGGAGCCGCGGTACTTTGTGCAAACACACATCCATCACTTCGCCCTCACACACTGGTTCTCTGACAGCATCTCGTAGTAACTCAGCTCCAAACACTCCTGAGTAACCAGGGGTCTGTGTCTCTGCTTGTTCTTCGCTCCTCCATCCTCTTCTATTCTTTCGTGCCGCTATGGTTTTTTCCCCAATGTTTTCCTTTTCCCCCCTTCCTCTCTGTTGCTCCTTCTCTCCTGGTTTGTATCAGGCAGACTGAAGCATCGCACTCCCTCCTCCTCCTCCTCCTCCTCCGTCTCCTTCCCTCTGCCGCTCGAATGGTCTCTCCAGAGCTCCTCTTCCTCCTCACTGCCTCTCTCCTCCTCTCTGGGTTTCAGTCTGCATGCTTTCCTCTATTCCCTTCATCTTGTTTTTCCCCTATCCACTTGGTTTCTCTCTCTCTCTCTCTCTCCGTTTGCGCCCTCCACCTGCCTCCGTCTCTCTCTCTGAGCCAGTAGGCAGTCAGACAGTGTGTGTGTGTGTGTGTGTGTACAGGATTAGAGAGAGGAATCATCTCTAGGCTCCTCCCCCCTCTCACTCACTCTCCATCACTGTGTTTATCCCTCCTCCTCCTCCTCTTACTGCTCCACCACTAACCACACAAACCCATGTTCCACTCTTCTCTAATTGCTCATGATTTTATCTTCCAACTATGTTTTTTTTTTTATCATCTTCTGTGTAAGAAATAAATGAAATTGGAAAATATTGAAATACATTATTATTTCCATTATCAATTAATCTATTGATTCCTTTTATTATGTATTTAACATGCTGGGCAGGCAGGTTACACCTCTATTGATAAGACACATCTTAATTAATTAAACCTGAATGACATATGTTGTTGACATTTTGGGGAAAGTTCTGTTTTTGGACAATGTTTATCAAATGTTTTAAGAAAATAAACCCCCAATCATATTCAGTTTGCGATGATATTAAAAACAATCAGTGAGTAAAGGTGGGATAGGTAATTTTGGAGAAACCGGCTCGAGTGCGCTAGAATTTGAAAATACACAGCCGGAAGAAATCTGCCACTTCCTTACAGAGCCCCTCCTCCAACACACACCAATGCGCACATGACCAATGAGGGCACGAGATAAGTTTGTGCACAGATGGAAGGCTGACAGGCAGGTAGGCCATCCAGTCATTTTAGCCGGGCCGGCTCAGATGATTGGTCGTGCTTTTTACAGTACTACGGCTTCCACAGATGACATTTTTGTATGGATTTTTTGTCAAAGCACTTAAGATATTCATTGCTATCGGGATGTTAAGAGCATTCCATGGAATATAACAAAAAGTGTATCTCGAGCCGGTTTCTCAAACTTACCTACCCCACCTTTAAGCATTTGGACACAATATAATGACTGAATAAGGCCAATAGGAGGGAGTATGTGGGAGAGATTTTAGCCTTTGCAAAACCTATATAACACACTACAGGAGAGGGGGAACCCCAAAAAGCATAATAGGGCCTCTTTAAAAGGTTTGCAAAGTGTAAAACAAAAAGGCAAGAACTTCATTGTGTTCACATGATACTGTGCAAATACAGTATCTGCTAACGCTAGGCCACATTGCGTGTCAAACAAGCTTCACAAGATGATATTCAGTCAAACACCCTCTCACACACACACATGCACACACACACACACCAGCAACATGCAGTGCAGTTGCTGAGTGTTTCAGTGGCTTCCTCCATTGCTCCCCAGATCCCAGGATCGGAGGAGGAGTAATCTATTCTTAAGGAGGTAAGGAGCGACTGCACGACAACAAATGTAATCCTCCCTACCCCATGCAGAGACAATCTGGCAACAGATGAAAGAATGAGGAATACCGGAGAAAAAATAAAAACTTGCTGCAATCTGCCACCGTCTGGCATTAGCGTGCAAGAGACCACATCTCATTTTGAGCTAAAACGACCATTTCCTGCTCTTTAAATTATACAATATTGGAATGAATGCTCGGCCCATCCCTCTGATCCAGACTAGAATATCTCAACAACTATTGGATGGATTACTCTTTAACTTCCAACTGACATTCATGGTCCACAGAGGATGAATCATAGTGGGGTTTCTTCACCATTAGGTTGACAAGAAACCACATATTTCTTTCTGTATACTATTTTTGATAAAACACCAATTCCCTGCTCCTACAAACAATACAATATCTATCCAATTGGTCTGTCAACAACTCTGGTGAAGACAGAAATATCTCAACTGCTTTTGGGTTGATTTCTCGCACAGACATTCGTGGTCCACAGAGGATGAATCAAAGTCACTTTTGTTAAAGCAACACCATCATGTTGATGTCTGTGGTTTGGGGTAAAACTACTCAATACATTTTCATGGTGTTTGTTTCACATTCATTTTTCCCTTAGAGTCTTTTTGGTGCCATTATCATTTCAAGATTTAACAACAAATATCTGAAACTAATTGGCTTAATGCCACAGGCGTACTTTTTTGTGCCAACAGTAAATATTGTTAGTATGCCAATAATACTAAACAATACATGGACTTCATTTATATAGCGCACTCTTTTACGTCTCCTCAAAACGTTTTACAAACAAGTCAGCATTCACACATTCATACAGAGGCAGGGGCTACCATGCAATGTAGCTATGGGAAGCTAACATCCACACACACACCTTTGGTCATCAGGATCAACTTGGGGTTAAGTATTGGGGCAAAGAACATATCGACATGTTAATTTCAAGGGCTGCGATTGAACCTACAACCTTTCCATTTGAAGACGTTCTCACTACCGCTGTCGCCCTACTAACAATATCAAAGTATACTCACTGTTAGCTAGCTGTGATGTTAGCAATGTACAGTCTCAAAAAGGCTTTATCATACTGCATTTAAACTCTTTTGTTAGTGTCCCATAGACTTTCAGTTGCCGAAAATCCTCATATGTTGTGGGTATGACTTCATGTACAAGGCACGTTGTGCATGGATAAAGAAGTGGAGCGGTAGATGTATAAAAAGAGTCAGCTTCATCAATAAAACATCAAAGTAAAACACATTTAAAGTCGGTATAGGGGGTTAGACACGCACAACAAGAATGTACATTTCTTCCAAGTGTGCATTAACAGGGTCGTTTTTTGTTAAGAGTTTCAATCAATGGCGTTATGTGGTGGTGAATGTAAAGAATTCACATTAGCCCCATCAACGACTCTTATAGGGCATTTTGCGCTATATCCTATAATTAGAAAATTAATGAACGAGGGTCCTCGGGGGCCAAACTGTGGCTTTACGAGTCTGCAGGTTAATTCATCAGCAGGTAGTTGGCATGAAGGCTTTGATAAGCGGCTGAAATTAGAGGTGGTCCAGGGTTCACGCCACACACCAAGTCTTGCAAACACGAGGGGATCAACTGATCGTGAGGTGGCAAGATGGGTGGGGGGCTTCTGCAGGATTCTGAAGGTAAAGATTACATTTTCACACTGATTATGGGATAAGAGGCTTTGGCGTAGCTCCAGGCACCGTGGGAGAGAGTGTGTGTGCATGTGTGTGTGTGAGTGCACGTCCTTGTTCACACCAGCATGACACTGAAGGCAATTATGGTTTTAAGCCAGCGGGTTGGAATCAATTATCACATGCCAACTTCCTCAAGCCCATCTGTCTGGGGTTTTTTCACCTAAGAATAAAAAATGCATTAATCTACTTCAATTATCTCCACTTAATCAAGTAATCCCGTTACGAGGATTAAAAATGCATAGTTGTCGCTTCTGCTCTTAACTTTTTAATCACCGTCCAACACTTTTTGCTGCACCTGCTTCAGTGTCACGGCAGCTTAGAGTAGATACACAGAAACTGCTGGAAAAATCACATGTCTTGAATGATTTATGACACAAAAGCTGATTTGATTGATGCAGGGCACAATATAACCTTTAATGGCATTTTCCAAGACCAATGTTGTAAAAACACAACCTAGTTTCAGATTTGGGTCAAAGTTATCTCTTGTTGCAAACCTGACAATTAAAAAGCGAGACTTTTAAATGTGTAAAGACTTACGGTGCTACGTTCGATTGATGGCTGACGTAATGCAATCCCTTGCCTTCTCTAACACAGCATATACGTTTGTAAAATAGCTTACAAGTCCTGCACAAAATATAAATGCAGGCACTTTTATATGGCCCATGACAAAATCTATTTTCCAACACGTCATTCTTTGATTTGTTTCCATCAAATTTGTATTTCTCAAAGATTTTGAAGGGCCTGTGAAAAACCATAAGGGATACTGATAGCAGTCTCTAGACATGACCAATATCCCTGCAGGAGATGATAACATTTCACACGTCTGACCGAGTTACTCACTCAAGCTGTTCGTTGCAACTCAGACGGATTATTAACCGAGAGAGCACACTCATTCATCCCTTCTGCACTAAAACTTTTAAATTCTTGAAAGACTTTTAGCTTGATTATTTATCATTGTGATACTATGAACTATTTATCGTGTAAATTGGAATGATCCACATCTGTGCTCCCGGGTGTATCTGTGCGTTTTCTTCCTGTATGTTCCTGCCTCTGTGCATGACATAAACTGCTGCTCATAACCAATTGCCCCTTGCGGGATTAATACAAGTTGTTGATTGATGTGAGAGCAAAGTAGTGACACACTGGGTGTTTCTCAATCGCGAGTACGCTTGCTTGGTAGCACATGTCTGCCGAGCATCTTGCTTCAGAAGCGAGTCAAGAATACTTCATGGCATTTGGAAAACAAAGAGTGGAACAGGCTAGCAAGTGTGCAGGTGTGCGTCATATGAGAGGCTCTGCCTTACATCTTCCGCCACAGATTTGGGGAAATTGGTCCGTGCGCAAAGCATTGTGGGGATTTTAAGACCGCGGAGTCTACTTATGTGCAGCCTCGATATTTCTCCAAAAGGAGTACGCCGGGCTCGGTAGATTTCCAAGTATGCTGGAGATTGGAACAGTACTTCGGCGGCACTCGATGACGTAGTATGCTTGAAATAGTGGCTCTGAAGCAGCTTTACTCGCGATTGAGAAACACCCACTGACACTTGGTCCGAGCTGTGTTCTAGAAAACCTTCTGATAGTCATATTAAAGTGGTCCCTATTATGTTAACATATACCTTGAGTAGAGAGTAGGTTTAAGGTGTCTAACAGTTTGGCCATCACCATGTTTGAAGTGACACAAGAAGGTGGAGTTTGGTACAAGATGACAGAAAAATTACCTTGAGTTTTCCCTTTCCTACAATGTATCATGTACGTTTTTGTGCATTTAAATGGTCTGCAATGGTTACAATCCATCTCTTAGCGGTTGAACAATCACAACAGAGCCGGCCAGCTAACCAATCAGAGCAGACTGGGCTCTGGTTTCAGACAGAGGGTGAAAAGAGGTGCTGCAGCACAGGCAGTATGAGAAAAATAAAGAGCTTTTTGAACATTAAAGCATGGAGACATGACAGAGAGCTCCTTTAAATAACTCAATGAGACAATATGTGTGAAAAGATATATTAAAACATGAAACCAGTAGAGCAAATGCACTACACTTACATCCAACACTTTCATATTTTTTTTTTCACGTATCATTGATTTTCCATATTAAATTGTGAGTAGTTGAAATTGTCTGAAAGGGTCAAACGGGCCCCTCATTCAGTCGTATATACACCGTTCCATTATGATGTCTTTGTGGCTTTAAAACGCTGCCCAGCCTCTTGAGTTCAGCTCCTGTGGTTTGAGGGCAGGCATTTAAGTGATCTCTCTAAAAGCCCTCTTCTCCTGATACTTCACTTTGAGTCTCCTCTTGAACCTAAGAGATGGGGGGGGAGAGTAGAAACATTAATAAACATACACCGTTTTAATCTGTAAAACACGGTGAGGCTTTGAGGAGACGTTATGCAAGAGGTCCTTACTTGGCTCTTTCTCTGGGTTCGATCAGGTTCCTCTTCTGCATGCTCTTGAAGCGATCCTTGAGGACGCTGCCCTCTGGCTGCAGAGTACCAGCATTACAGGGGGGGGGGGGGGGGGGGGAGAAAAGCCATCCATGTGAGACAAATATCACTCTGCACAATTCCCACCCAAATTATAAAATCCCTTTCACATCACAAAGGCTGATTTGAGTTTTATTCAGAGACAAAGGCAGGAGATAAGAGGGAATTTTCCACCAGCAATTAGATCACATGAAACTGTAATGATGCCCGGGGGGGAAAGTGGGTCGTGGCAGTATTAGAGAACAGGATAAAGCTTAGAATAAAGACAATACACTGAGTAAAGGACGCAAAACTCATTACAGATAAAAGACCCGTGTCCTCACTGACAGGTTAACAGTGGATACGCACGTGAACATTTAAAACAAGTGAAGTACCTTGAGTTGTCGCAGGGAGCCGGCCAGCTCGTCACTCAGCTGGACCTCCAGGTCCTGAGCCTGAAACCTGCAAAAAAGAAACATTAACTACCGTTTAGTGAATGCATCTAAATCAAGCCACATTATACAAGTGTGTTGAAAGGGCACTGGAGGATGCAATGGCAATTACATATGCATATTGCATTTACAGCCAACATTATTGGATAATGTACAATACATTATAATAATTAAAAACAACAATGTGGTAGTTTTGGATATCTTGATATGTGATCTTGGGCCAAACTGGAACTTGCAGGGTTATCAAAACATTGGGCACAAAGTCCTTAACAATTCATACTTTTGTCATAATCATTTAAATCTTAAAATACAGTTGTAATGTTGCAGAAAGGATTTATAAAACATCCCATGGAAAAAATTGTATCACAAAGATTTGGGGGGGGGGGGGAAAACACCCCTCTTTGAAGGGGAAATCAACACATCTACAATAGGAAGACTTTTTCATACACATGAAGAAGGTTTCATGTTAACCCTCAGATATGATGACCTCTAGTGGCGTTATATGATCCTACAGCAGGACAATTGAAACCTGAGCTAAAGACAGAGCAACAGCCCCAAGTAGAGATCTTGTTGCCTAAAATCTGAGATCAGGGTCATCTGAGATTTAGCTTGGGCTTGAAAGAGGTTGGCATTTGTGTAGTTTGTTTGCATTATTGGAAATGTGCAATCCATCCATCTTAAGTATGCATACAAGTGGGACACTCATTTGTCATAACATTGAACCACTGGCTAATATATCCCCCGATAAGCCAGAAAAGCATGCTGGCATACATACATCTTACTATCCTGGTATTTTTTTATTTACATACATAGGCGCTTTCACACCAAGCACTTCGCCGTACTTCGTTCACTAGAACTCTTTAGTTCTGATGAACTAAAGAGCAGATCGCGTTCACACCGGAATAAGTCCCTGAGGGAGGATTAGGCAAATTTGGGTTTACTGGCAGGCCGCAAACCACTTCACGGCGTATACTGCCACCCGGAGTCCCCGGCCGGAAGTCCCCGGAGTTGGGGACTGGCTTCAGTAGAAGCTGCTGGGACTCCCAGCAGCTTCTACTGAAGCCTTCCGAGTAAATCGCCAGAACGCCGACACCTCCTCATCTCCCATGTTTTATTTTGTGTTGCCATAAATTATTCTCTCTGTTGGTGCGCGGGGCTAATGCTAACAATGCTAATGCCAGCAAATAAAATGGCGGTTTCACAAAACATTTCTGAGTTTTACGGGGCGTAGTTTGCAATCCGCCCAGCCAATCAGAAAGGAAAGTACCACCTCTCTAGCAGGGACTAAAAAGGTTCTCATGAACTAAGTTCTAGTTCCGGATTTTTTGGTGTGAACGCAACATTTCAAGAACTATTAGAACTATACTGGGAAAAGTACTCCGGTGTGAAAGCACCTCATGTCAGGACATATTAAATCTATTTCTGGCATGCTTTCATATACACTCGAAGGCAAAACTGGTGTTTTCACCACTTGAAAAATGTTCAAAGTTTGTGCAGAGGTCCTACGAGTCCCCCAACATTATGAAAGTGTAATTTAACATGTTAAGTTTTAGCTGTGAGGAGAGCGCTCGGTGCGTACTTGAGTTTGCCGAGGCGTCTGGGTTGAGATTTCTCGGCCTCCTGGTTGGCTTTGCGCTGAATCTGTTTGACTTTGGTGTCCGCCTCGTCCTGTTTGATGGAGGTCTTTATGGAGCGCAGCTGGAAGAGCTGCTGCTGCCTGAAGGTCTGCTCCTTGTCGGCCTGTCGACTTTGCTCCTATAATGGGAAGAGGAAGAGAAACAGTCAGGTGGAGAAGATACAATGTGGCAACCTTTTGAAAGTTGTTGCTAAAAAAGCCATAAACCAGGAGAGCCACTAAGGCTGTTCATTGAGGCAGGTTGGACATTTGAGTTTTGTTTATATGGTATATTTGCAATTTACTTATTTGAACAATTTGTTAACGTTACCAGCTCCCTTAATACTTTTAAAGAATGCTATATATATATTTTATATCATGGATTACTTTGTTTTTATTCTTACCAACGTGTGGTTAACTTATTTAATATGCAAGTCTACTCTTAGTGCGTTTACATGTCCTCAGATCCCAGGAGACCGTTAACAAAACCGTCTCCTGAGCTCCTATGAGTTATCTTCACATTCCCAATGAAGGAAATACTGGGAGCGCAAGGATGTGATCATCACAGGACACACACACTAAAAGCAAGGCTGATTTTTTTGAAATGTATATTTTCTTAAAACTCTTTATTGGATGAGAAACGTATAAATTGGTTTTTCCATGACCAACTCTGTGCAGTCGGTATGTGTAGGGCAGGCAGGAGTTCATATAATAAACGTTACCAGCTGCCTTAATACTTTTATATTCACTTGTTTTTCCTTTTATATCATGGATTACTTTGTTTTTACGCAATTGTTTATTTTTACCAACGTGTGGTTAACTTATTTAATATGCAAGACTACTCTTTTTCCTTTTATCTGTACCTTGCTGCTGTGACATTGTAAATGTTCCCGCTATAGATTGACTTGAGGTGTTCCGATTGAGATTTTACCATCAAATCAGTTTGTGAAATGCCCCCGTCACAATTACAGCCAAAATGTTGGCATGCATTGACAAAAAAATAAATAAAGTTGTTTTAATTTATCTTCACATGATAACCAAAACTAAAGAATTCCCCACATTTGCTTAACACTAGAACGGGTACATTTTACCCGCAGCTGTTTTTTGATTGTATGTAACTTTTTTTCAACAAAATATTCAAGTCTCCCAGTCCGTTACTTTTCCTGAAAGTGTGTTATGTAGCACCCTCTGTTGTTAAAAATTGTCAATATAAAGTGAGATTGAAAAAAAATTGCCATTTATACCCATTAGCGCCAGCGGGTAATATTTACCTCGTAGAAAATGCAGCGTAAACATGACGTGTTTCTATAGCAACACCTTTTGTCTACTGCGGTTCCTTATAGATAGAGAGAGATAGATATAGTGATAGACAGAGAGATAGATATAGTGATAGACAGAGAGATAGATATAGTGATAAACAGAGAGATAGTGATAGACAGAGAGATAGATATAGTGATAGACAGATAGATATAGTGATAGACAGAGAGATAGACAGATATAGTGATAGACATATATAGTGATAGAGAGATAGTGATAGATATAGTGATAGACAGAGATAGACAGAGATAGACAGAGATAGACAGATATAGTGATAGAGAGATAGAGAGATAGAGATAGTGATAGATATAGTGATAGACAGAGATAGACAGATATAGTGATAGACAGATATATATAGATGGATAGAGATGGATAGAGATTTGTACCTAATACCAAGCGTTTAAATCAGCACTGGTAGCGATATTTTATACTTCATGCTATCTGCACAAACTATATAATCTGAAAAGCTGAGAGTCCACAGATTATATTTGTATAAGTTTCATCCCTGTGCGATCAAAACTCACTGTTCTACATGATAAAAGAACATTGTACCTTGAAAATCAATAGCGGGTAAATTTGACCTGTTGGCGGTTTTAGGTATACAGCGACCTCTGGCGGTTCTAGTGTTAAAAGACTGAAGACCCTGAAATGCAATAGTTAGATAACTTTGCTTACAATCGATAAAAATGTTTTAGATTCCCGCTCAAAAGCTGTAACTAGTGAGCCCAAAATAAAATCGGAATACAAACCACATTATCAATCATTCATAGAAATTCTGTTTGAATAAAAGCACAGCTGCCATCACATCATGGAACAATCAAATACGTGTACAACTTTCATAATGGACACCACTGATATACACATAATGGTTACATTGTGTGCCCGTACCTTGAGTATCTCTGCCCTCTCTTTCCTCCTGTCTTTCTCCGTCTTCTTCAAGGCCTGTGCGATGGCTCCTACTATCACACCATCATCATCCTCAGCTCCTGCTTCTTCATCATTATCATCATCTTCCTGTTCTACCAGGCCTTCCACCTGCTCTCTGAAGATCGTCTCCTGCAGAACACAAACAAACACACGTTAGATCAAATCAGACTTACTTCCTGATCATTAACAAAAAGAAAGTTGAATGAGCAATAATAATCTTCACCTCTGTTGCTAGGTGATCTTTGTTGACCGCCAGCTGCCTCACAAGCTTGTCTTCCGCTTTTTGTTTCTTCACTTCCACATCATGGGCTTCCTGCAGCAAGGCCTGTGTTCATATAGTGAGGGAAGAGATTAGCATTTAGTGCAGGTCATACAAAACGTATATTATACCGGTGGACATTTTAATAAAATAAAAAACTGCTTTGTTACTGGATAAATGCAACATTCAAAAATATGCAAGAAATAAAAGCCTCATCACTTGTTCAAGGCCTAATATTTTTCCAAAATAACCTCAAATGAATTATTTACATTGGAGGATTCATACATTTTGGGTACTTTAGGGTATATGCAGGAATCCTGAAGTCAAATGTAATACCTTTTAAGACCTTTTTTAAGACCCTTTCCATACATTTGAAGACCTCATCGCCACTTCCGAGTTCTGACCGGTTACAGTGGCGACACACTTTACTATATACAGTATTGATTGTCCTTCCTCCTTATCTTCCAACCATTTGGACGCAAACTTGCATTTCCCCATAACGATGTTGTTTAACAACCGGTGTAAACGGACCTGAGCGCAGTGAGCGTGCGATGTCCTGTTCAGATGACGTCAAATCCAACGGGATGCCATAAATAAACTACACAGAATCACACTACACACCTACACAATGATTACATTCAGGCACACTGTAGAATACAACCTCTTTGGACAATTTATACAAAATGTAATACCTTGGAAAATGCCGTTTAATACTTTTTAATAGCCTTAATTTTCCCTAAATTGATTTATCAACTTTTAATACTTTTTAAGACCCCGTGGACACCCTGTACTTAACAGTTCCTACTTGTCCTATTCTTACCTCAGGTTGCATAGAGTCCTCCAATTTAAGAGATACTGCTGTAATTGTTGGCTCTTTATCCTTGTCCTCTCAGTGGTATGATCTCTTTTAGCTGAATCTGAATGCCCTTAGCATTTTTTTTTTGAGGGCTCTCTTATCTTCAAAAATCAAGCTTCTCTCGGCGAGGAGCAAGTTCGGAAAATGCGCATCACATTCAGGGTTTACGCCCAAGTTATGATAGTAGTCGGTTTCCTGTTTTAAGGGCTTAATCTACGGTACCATGACATCAGTCAAAAAGGCCTCGCGCTTCATTTTCATGTCTGCTGTGTGAGGAACACCACTCCACTAGACTTGTTCGTTTTAAGAGTTGTGCAATCCCAAGAAAGAAATATGCGCAATCCTGCTCTGAAATTCAGGATTTTTAAATGACTAATTGAAGTTGACGCCATGCCATTTTCTAGCGTGTCGAGTTGTCGCTTACCTGATGGGAGAAGAAGTCTGGGTTGTAAGATCCTCCAGGAGCGATCACCTCCACAGCAGGAAGCGCAGACGGCTTCGCATTCAACTTCTCTGGACGCTGAGAGAAAAACAGTGATGACACCACATTAGTCGAAGTCAAACCACTACATGTGTAATATAAAATACTAGTGCTCTGCTCGAATGTTATTAAATAGGTCACTTGAATTGCTAAAAAAACACTTCTCACCTTGACACGCGATTTGCGCGTTTGTTGAAGGTACCAGGGGTCAGCTGTACTTTTTACTACAATGAAAAGAAAATAGTTTCCAAATTAGATCATATAAGCACAGTAAAGACACGGACAAAATGTCTGTGATCTACATTTGAGTGTGTAAAGCTCCCAGAAAGATATTAACTTTCCAGGCGGTAACAGAGCCTCGTGTTTTGCACTGCAAACGCCAACTATATGAACTATTAAAAAAACGATAATTTCCTTTTTTGAATTCACCTGATCACCATCAGTTCACAGGGACTTTACATCTTAACAAACTCCTACATGTGTATCCTCAGATCTCAGATGACCGTTTACACAACGATCACCTGAACTCCATGTTTGTCTTCACATTCCCATGAAGGGAATACTGTGAGCGCAAGGATGCAATCATCACTGGAAACACACACAAATACACCGAAAACTCACTCTCTGGTGCCCATATGTCGTAGAAGTCTCTCTCGGGGTTGTTGTTGGCGTCAGTCACTGCCTTGCTTTCTGTCTTCTCGGGCGCCCGTAGGTTCAGCAGCTTTTTCTGCCTCCGTGGCACTATGCCTTTGGCTGCCAGATGCTCAGCCTTCTGGGCAATGCGGCGGAGTTTCTTGGCATTAGGTAGCTGGTAGGATAGCACACTGGGGGGGTAAAGGCAGAAGAGACAATTATGTGAGACAGGAGGATGTAAAGGAACGAGGTAACAAGAGATGTGAAGAGTTTACGCAAAACCATCACTCTTGAATGTTAGTGACACTTCATAATGTGTGTGTGTACATGTCCTCAGATCCCAGGACACCGTTAACAAAACTGTCTCCTGAGCTCCTATAAGTTATCTTCACATTCCCAATGAAGGAAATACTGGGAGCGCAAGGATGTGATCATCACAGGACACACAATAAAAGCAAGGCTCTACTTTATTGGATGAGATAAATGAGAAATTTATTAAAATCGTTTTTCATTCCAAAATCTGTGCGGTCAGTATGTGTGGGGCAGGCAGGAGTACGTAGCTTAGGAGGAGTTAATATAATAAACAAAACCCCTTACCACCTTAGAGTCTTTACAGATACTGATCGTGATTAGTTTTGTGTAGATAAATGTGTTTTACGACAAATTAATGAGCTTAATGGCTTTCTTTAAACTTGAAGTGCAGTATAGAATGTTTTTCTGATATGTATGAACATGGACTAAAGAAAAGTTCCAAACGTATGTTGTGCATGCTATCCAGTATAGTTCTGAAAAATAAAACCGACAGTAATTGCAATTAGTGAAATTGCATAAGCAGGGTAAAGCTCAGAGCTTAGTGGTGGATACTGACTCTTTAGGTGCTGGAACGAGGGAGTCGTGCTGCAGGATCAGGTCGATTCTCAGAGGACGCACCGGCTTTCCCCTCCTCATCTTCACCTCGACAGGTGCCACTACAGCCCAGGGAAAACATAATATTTTGAGTCAGAATTAGGCATATTGGGATGTGAGAAAACCACCACCTAACTGATTTTTACTTTGGGAAATGCACGACCCAACAGTAGGCCCGAGGGACATATATATATTCACCTTTCCGTTCAGCTTTCTTTGGTGGTCCAACATCCAAAAAGAACAAACTTTCGTCCGTCTTCTCCGAAAGCAAACCCCTATAAAACAGAGACCATATCATTTTACCAATCAATCATGAATAAATTATAGACATAAGTAAATGTAAAAAGAATTGCCTATTTTCCAAAAACTGAAGATATCCAGATAAAGCATTGAACAAAAAGAGCTGCACAAAAGCTAACCAACCAGCACAGATATTTAGCACGAAATGTATAGACAAAACATGACTTGAAGTAATTGACATACTTTCCTTGGTTGACGTGTATAATTGTATAGGATTAGGCAAAACACGTGGCATGGCGTGTATTTTGGCAGATCCTTCTTTTTATATTTCACAACATTGCAAGGGTTTCCAAATAAATATAAACAATGATATGAAAAAATCATTTTCTACATTTAATTTTGCACATGTTATTTTAGGGGACTGTTTGGCATACATCTTGTTATTTTTGTAGTATCTACATTTCCAGTTTCAATGTCCAATATAAGTGATGGCAAACTCTGGAACTCAGTGACATTATCCGGTTTATCAACAATGAACCAAAAGACAAAACCTGTTAACCCTTATTTGTGGATCTTGAACAGGACAATGTGTTTTAAAAAATAAAATAAAAAAGACCTTCGACATGAATTTCACTTTATCTATTTGTAACATGGTAAACTAATTAAGAAAGGGGGAAGTACTACTGAGATTGTTCCACTCAGAAAAAGAGCCACGCAAGTAACAGTAATCAAGAGAAGTAGTAATTGTGCAGAAAAATGTCCTCCATTAGTGATATATTATATATAGAAGCGACATTTTACAATTGTACAAGTAAATGTAGTGGAGTAAAATTAACTTCGAGATTGTACTTGAGTAAATGTCATAAGCTACTTTACAATCGTGGTAATGTATGACTGAAGTTATTTTTATTTTTTTTAAAACAACTCCTTTGTGACAAAGTTTGTAGTACAACAACAAGACACCAAAAGACAGGACTAGCTTAGCTAGCTAACTGCTGTAAACACAGTACACGGTTTTAAACCTGTAACGGTTATGTGGGGGGAACGACGGCCAGACATCGGGTCACAAACGGTTAAAACCCGACAAAATGTCCTCTAATGAAGTTTAACATTCGACATTTGTAAGAGTTTTGTTACATGTAAATACCACACGGTTGTTTCTCCCAACACATGGCTGAACTCACCCTGTGGTTCTCTCCTGGTGTCGGATGTCTTCCAGAAACTCGTCCACATCGTTGATGTCGATGTTTTTGTTCCAGTTCTTCTTCTTGTTCTTGTTCAGACGTTTTCTCCGAGTGGTGCCCAGGATATCGCTGCCCGAAACGGACTTTAACTTAATAAAACCAGGCTGGGAGGACGCCATGCGTTTCATCCTCCTGTTGGCCGCCATGTTGGAGGAGGAATGGTGGAAAGAAAACACGTCACGTGTCGGGTTTTTATATGCGCGAGGGACGCTGCAGGCGCGCCCCCTGCAGGACAGCGAGGGAATTACTATACCTTTATTCAAAGATTTGGTTTATTGTCATATGCACAGTAGCAACAGTATCGATATGGTGATTAATATATTAAGTCCCAGGTTCCTCCAACAATGCAACATAAATATAAATAAGTTGTAAAATATTAAAACAAATACAAATAAATATAAAAATATATAAAAATAGTGCAAGACCAATGTGTTTGGGTATTATACACCCATTCATAAGAATCAAAGGCTTTCTTGTTATACTGTATGCACATAGGTTTTATTAACACTGGGGTCTCTGGGAACATGTGCCCACCACTTTTTGTTGTGTCCCCACTACTATTTCAAAGCTTGTTTTGTTTTAAATGTTCTGAAAAACAACTAACTCGTGTAAAATCATTCACTGAGGCTTATTTACACAATAAGAAAAGATAAAATGCTAAATGAATATATCAAATGAATGAATGTGCATTGCCAAAAGCTCAACAAAAATGTACTTACTCGTTATAAAATCACTATGCACTGATCAGTTTAACAAAATGATTCATATAGTTTCCCCAATCTTGGTAATTGTCTATTATTATTATTATCAAGTATCTCACCTTGTACCGATCCACCAAATGACATTGTGTCAAATGTTTTATGGTTAGACTGTTTAAATATGTTCCCCACCACTTTTAACAAAAAGCTAAACCTTTGCATGTGCAGTTATCGTGCAGTTGTTGTCAATGAACATCTTAGGTTTTAGTTTCAGTGTAACATGTTTGTATTTGCACTATTTTTTCCTTTTGTTATATGTATAGTTTGTCGTTGGATCCTGGGAGTTATTGATTTAGTTCTCCAGTCCACAACTGCAGCACAATAGCATAGTTGTGGGAGACTGTAAACAATTCCCCCCACATTATGTTGGAGTGAAAAAGTAACAATACTGTCGAACACAAGGAAACATAAAGTATTCTCACTAATTGTGATTTTATAATATTGACGTATTGTCGTCCAATTTGTTATAATAGTTGTGTTGTGTTGTCTTGTTTATGTTTCTCTGCACCATTAGTTTTCTGCAATGTGTTTACAATTAAAGAGCGCCCCCTGCAGGACTGGCAGTGTAAATACTGCATTTGCTGTCTCCTAGTAAATAAAAGTTTAAACATTTCTTATCTGTTTCACATTTTATAACCCTATGATATATTTTTTTTGTGTGAGTATAAAGACAGTTTTCCATTGCACTAAGATAATAAAATAACATAAGTGTTGAATATGTTTTAAAATACAATTGTGTATATACTACATAATTAAAAACTGTGAATATCGTTTAAAAGGTCTCCAAGACTGAAATCCACTTTAATAATATTCGTTTTCTCGGATATTAAAAGTGCTTTGGTTGTTTTTTTTTTCCAAATAAAATAAATCTAATAAAAAAACAATAATATAAATTCACAAAAGTGTCAAATTACATTAAAAAAAAACTGTGATTATAGTTTTAAAAGTCTGCAACAGTGACATCCACTCTGTTTCTATTCAGTTTCTCTGATATTAAAAGTGTTTTTGGTTGTTTTTTATATTAAATAAAATAAATGCAATTAAAAAACAACTAGTATAACCTAACAAAAGTGTCAAAAATCGGAATAAAGACAACATTTTGCATGACATTGCATGTGGAAGTGACCATGCAACTGTTTACCATGTTGCAGCATGTATGTAATATGTTTGTCCCAGGTGCATCATGGGAAATGTGTCTCCTGTTGCTCTCCTATGTTCTTTTTCCTTTTTTTTCCTCCCTTCATTTTATAGCGAGAAGAACAACGCTTTAGAGACTCAAGAATAAATTCCCATTTTTGACCTGTTATCTTTCACGAAGTTTGCAAAGGTAGGTCTCATCATTTCGATAAAAGTCCAATCTTTCATTTAATGTTGTGTTATTTTTCGGATGAACGTGTTTTTCCCATTATTTTTGGTGAAAAAGAAAACGCAGAGCAGTCGCTTATTATCTGCCTGCTCGGGGGACCTTAAAAGCACTTGTGATCTCGGTCAAATTTGACTCGGAAATGCGCCTAAAGTGAGGGGTCATCTGACAAAATATTGTTCACCAATTGATCCCCTGACATGTCTACTGTCTTTTACAAAAACTATATTCCACTTTAATGCCGCGGTTTGTATATAATTCCGTCGTTTTTATAACCACCTTCCTCGTTTGGTACAACGATTTTTTTCCTTCCCGTTTACATTCTTCTAGCCAGCCAGCCAGCCATCATCTTTAGGTGTGCTCGTTTGCCGACAGCGGGCAGCCGACGCGGGCGGGAACGCTTGGTTTTCCCTCGTTATAGCTCATTCTGAATAAAATATCAGGCCTTGTGCGCAACCGGGGTGCGTAGTGTAAAGAATCGAACAAACCCACGTCCATTGCGCAAGGGGCGGGATTTTGCTTGCCGTCATCGTGCTGTGATTGGTTCGACTTTTATTTGAAATTAAATGATTGGTCTACAAATTCGAAATATCCCGCCTCCATGGCTTGTTTACACAATCTGATTGGTTCACATGATAGGAAGGTCTACCATGATTCGACACTATTGCTGTCCTTTTTACGGACGTCATTCATTACATAAGCTGTCTCGGATATAATACATACAACAAATAGACGCTTGTGCTGCTGATGTATGGTTTTATATCCCACTCTTAATGATGAGTAGATGTACAATTCTAATTCAATCAAAAATAAAACTGGAAAAGTACATTTGTATCCTTCAAATCCCCTCCCCTTCACACTATTCTTTTGCACATGTGCCTTAAAAATGCATTGTAGTTTCTTTACCAAAGCCAACTTTGTCCTGTGCCCTCAGGTGATCTTTAGTAGCCATGGCCCGTACCAAGCAGACCGCCCGTAAGTCCACTGGAGGCAAAGCCCCCCGTAAGCAGCTGGCCACAAAGGCTGCCCGTAAGAGCGCCCCCTCCACCGGTGGAGTCAAGAAGCCCCATCGTTACAGGTGAGAGTCCATACAGTGTCTTGGAAAGATTGGAAAACACAGAGGATGCTTCAGTTTTATGCCCCTTGTTCAATATGTGGATATAAACCAAAACTCAACTGACAGGTGGGCACCAATAGTTTTCCTTCAGCCCCAAATAAACTCTTTAGGGATGTATTTTACTTCCCTTTTATTAACATTTAACTTTTTTTATTAACTTTCTCATAAAAAACAATAGGCAATGTACATTATATTCCGTATTTAGATTGTTAAGTGGATTACATTTTGGAAAAATAGATTATTTTCTACCCTGGTCTCACTCTGGTCAAAGACTGATACTTGGGTTCAAACACTCAATACCCCTAAACAGTTTGCAGAGGTGCAAGGTGAAGATGAAAAAAGTGTACACGATTAATATGTTCGGTTAAAATCGGAAAGGATAACATAACTTTTTGTAAAAGCAGTTCAGCTCAGCTTCTCCCACCTTAAATTGTGCATTTGAACATGTCCTTTCCTCTGCTCTCCAGGCCCGGTACCGTGGCTCTGCGTGAGATCCGTCGTTACCAGAAGTCCACTGAGCTGCTGATCCGCAAGCTGCCCTTCCAGCGTCTGGTGAGAGAAATCGCCCAGGACTTCAAGACCGATCTGCGTTTCCAGAGTGCTGCCATCGGAGCTCTGCAGGTCAGAAAAACAACCAGATCCATACACTTGACCACTGGCTAATGATTGAGAGGATATTAAACCAGAGACAAAGCGGTGTTATAAAACACTATTAATGGCGTACAAATATACAGTGTCGAAAATTCATGTCTATCCATATAAGCACTACTCTCATACAAAGTTCTGATACACTTCACTCACTTTCCTCAAACTTGAGACCCAAATTCATGTTAAACAAGTTAACATTAATATGTAGGGCAAAATTATTATACTATACAAAACGCGCATTGTGTACCATTCCTTAGTTGCAGGGACTGATGAAGATCAACCATAATACACTTTCAAAAGACCAACATGACCAATCATTTAAACGATAATTGTTGCTCCACTGACATCCGTGTTTCCCTCTCTGCAGGAGGCCAGCGAGGCCTACCTGGTGGGTCTGTTTGAGGACACCAATCTGTGCGCCATCCACGCCAAACGTGTCACCATCATGCCCAAAGACATCCAGCTGGCACGTCGTATCCGCGGGGAGCGCGCTTAAAATGTTTCCTGGTTTGTTATATGCTGTCCTCTTGTCCCCTGTCACCACTCTTTTCCTCCCTCTATACTTAGTTGGTAGTTTGGTTTGAGGTCCTATATATATATATCATATGATTGTGATAACCGTAAAATGTGTGATCATGTCTTCTTTGGTGCTACTAGTAGCCGAGTTTCCTTCAAGATATCTTCACTCCTCACTTCTAACTAGCTAGCTCACATCAATGTTTGTTATCTCCATGCATCGGGTGTTTTGTCAATGCAAGAATAGTTTGCGATATCAAATGTGCACAGGAAATCTCATTAAGGCTAAGACATCTTCATCTTCACACAGACATTTAAATTGATATAATGGGCTTTTCTTTACTTTAAATAGAGATGTGTGGTCAAAGTAGTGATTCTTCTTTCTTTTTTACAACAATGGTGTATTTCTACTGTTAGTGTTTAATGTATCAAAAAACTATAGTTTGATTCTGGTTGTCAATTAGAAAACGTCATTGTGCTATGATGACACTGCATTTTTGGCAGAATGCAAGCGGCGTATATGTAGCAGACCTATGGTGATCATACTTTGATTTTCAGCCACGTTATTATGTCCAGGTAATGTTTTGACTTGTTGTTCCTCTCTCAGGTTGATATAACCTATTTTTTTTTTCTACTGTGTTTTTGATTTATGTTTTCAGGCATTTTTAAGAGCAAAATATTTGTACTCTGGAATTCACATACAAACATAATAAACAGATTTGTGTGGTTAATAAACTGTTTTGTGTGAATATCTACTATGAAATATCCTATTTGAGCTGAAAAACAACACCTCTCTTGATGTATCTACCACTGCTTTCATCATGTCATTTTTCAAGCAAGGAGATGAATCATTACCTAGAATGATGGTTACAGCAATTCACTAATATTTACTATCTTAAGCATTTAGTACGTTGTAATTATCATGCATCTTTCTCAGAATAAATTATTCTTAGTTGCCAACTTTTTGGAAATTGCATAAAGTAGTTGAGGTAAAAAAAAAAAATCAGTCACTGCTTAATATTATTATTGTGCAAACTAGGAGACGTGTGTAATAATATTATTATTTTGTAACCAGTATCCCATGAATGTTATGCACTGAAGTCACCTCTAAACAACCTACACTTTTCTAAAATAGCATTTTTTTAAATAAAATAAAACTATTACATAACCATAACAAACCTCATTATTCTATTTTATTTCTTTATTGTACACATGTTCATATACAGAGGTGTAGAAATTCAACCTGCCAAAGACAATGATGGTGAACTTCTACACCTCCATCATCGAGTCCATCCTCACCTCCTCCATCACCATCTGGTACGCCGCAGCCACAGCCAAGGATAAGGGCAGGCTGCAGCGTGTCATCCGCTCTGCAGAGAAGGTGATCGGCTGCAATCTGCCATCCCTCCACGACCCTGAGGCGGGCAGGGAAGATAGTGGCCGACCCCTGCCACCCTGGACACAAACTGTTCACCCTCCTCCCCTCTGGCAGGAGGCTGCGCTCCATCAGGAACAAAATCTCTCGCCACCTGAATAGTTTCTTCCCCTCCGCTACCGGCCTCTTAACCCTTGTGTTGTGTTCGAAAGCTGTTACCGTTCATGGTGTTCGCAGGTCAATTTTGACCCATGATTTATCTCAGTCCAAAACACACACAAAAAATGACTATCATCCAATATTGTTTTAACTACATCATAACTAACTTATAATGCATTCATAACCGTACAATCCTGTTGTAATTTTATTTTATGGCCCAAAACACATTACACCACATATTGCACACGTGCATGTGTGTGTTCAGGTTCAAGTGTTAGTGTACATATTCTTTGAGAAAGGTCGAATTCCCGTGGGGGGAGGGGGGCCAGAGGGATGGGAGACCAGGTGCATGTTGCGAAAAATTATTGTTACAGTGGATGAAGGGGTGGGGCTGGGGTCTCTAAAGTCAAAGATGAATCTTGATTGGGCCAAATTTGACCCCGAGTCACCCAAAACAATTCTGCTGGGTCTTCCCAGACCCCAACACCAAATTATACACTTTTTTTTTAGAGACCTTCAGACTAGGCTAAAATGGTCAAAATCAGTTTTGTAGTGTTTATATAGCTGTTGTGGAGGATATCATGAAGCCTTGTTCCAATTAAAAAAACTAGAGCGTAGGTGATATATAATTTTAACTTGAAACGGGTCACGGGAGACCCGAACACAACATAAGGGTTAAACAAGGCCCGGCCCCCCCACTGACACAACGTAGACTCTATATGCATTACATTAATGCACACAATGTTCAAATAATGCTTACTGCACATATTCTTATTTCATATTCTATAACTCATTGCATTCCATTTCGCTGTAAATTACTGCTTTATTTTATTGCTATTTAACTATATTTTATTATAGTGTCCTTAAAGATTCTTTGTTTTATATTTTATGTATGCACCACGACATCAAGTCAAATTCCTCGTATGTGTGAACCTACTTGGCAATAAACCCGTTTCTGATTCTGATGAAACCATACAGTATGCAGACATATACATAGGAAAACACTAAACCATGTTAAAATGTTATGCATTACATTCTAATAGTTCAATGACTTAATAGCTTTTTTTTGGTGCTTTTAACGTGATAAAAAAAGGAGCTGTTTTGTAAAAATGCAGTCATAAAGTGCAAACAAGTTACTGTAGATACTGACTACATTTTAATATGAAAATGTTATTGTCTATAAACAATAAATAGTTGAATTACATACAGTGTAATATATTCAATCTGCTCCCAACTGAAGCAATGCAATAAAAATAGCCTATTTAGTTCAATATTCTCTTGTTTTATTCTTAGAAAATTGGCTATTTCATCCCAGGAATTCAATAATACATTGAGAAATATTAATTAAATACAAATGTAATCACACTTACTTTCAATATTAAGTTTGAATCTTTCTCTAAAAAGTTGTACCAGGTTAATTCCTTGTAATATCTTGAAATTACACTTCCCTTAGCTTGTTATTAGTAGTATTTATAGCAAGTTGTCCATGCTATCTCCTACTGTTTCACAACACTTTTTATAGTTGTTTATTTTCTACTCTTTTTCATTTCTTATTATGGGCAATGCTTTGTTTTACATGCTGCTGTAACGACAAAAATGCCCCAATTTAAGAGCGATAAAATAAATCTGATATTTTTTATTATTATTATTTTATTATTCAAAATCTGACCAAACTAAACAACAGAAATGTTGACAACACTGTTGCATTGTGGGACATGTGATTGACGCGGCGGCCATTTTCCCGCTGGACGCTGCTTCCCCATTGTGGAAACGAAGAAGAAAATAAGAGACAAGCCAAACATTACTCGCCACTTCTACTCACTTTTCCCCCCAGGTAAGCCCCTCAAAATACATCACAGATTTCACTAACGAACTTTGAATTTTTTAAGTTGTGTTTTTATTTCATTTCTGGACACATTTAAGGACGAAAAAGCTCTTATTTTGTCGCGTGGGGAAATAACAAACACGGCGTTTGAAGCTACGGTTGAAATGTAGCCGTTTCTTTCCGTTGAGATGCATTTTCAAATTATGCGCCCGTGAGCTCGGTTTTACGCAGCCGTTAGGGACCGTTCACCTCTCATATCCTTATCTATGAGTTCCCTGAAATGTCTTCTGTGTTCTTCTTATATTTCCCGGTACGCTTGCACTGCGGTTTTTAGTAAAATTGAAGTTGTTTACGTGCTACTCCTGTGCACTTCAGCCCTTGGTCTTTATCCCGTTTGCGCATCAAACCGCCGCCATCACCAGAGCGGGGGAGAGGCGGACCTAGCAACAGTGGAAGGCAACTGTTAATCCCGCCTACTTTCTAGACTCTACACGCGGATTGGCTCAAGCGTTGTATTTATAGAAACGTAATGGTTTGTCGGCCAATCGTATCGTCGTTCGTGTTTGATTGACGTCTGTAGGGCCGATTGTTAAAGGGATTGTCATGTGTTTACTTTTTTTACTACGAAAAAAGTAAACTTAAATTAAGTTGCACGGTACTACTAAAAAACGTTTTATATCATGCTTATATTTACGTGCATGGACGGTTAATAATCACGATTTAAGAAGTTACTTTGGTTGGAGTATTAAGCCTACAAAATACAGCAATAAACCCAATGATTTACATGCAATCTCTTACCAAATTTTGAATTTATTTTTCAGTAAACGGGATAAAGACAACAGAAAAAATAGATGATTATGTAAAATGAGAACGACATAACATGTGGATACTAAAAACTATCTTCTAAAGGTGATATTAAGTATCACCTTTAGACCATCCCCTCCCCTTCACACTATTCTTTTGCACATGTGGCTTAAAAATGCATTGTAGTTTCTTTACCAAAGCCAACTTTGTCCTGTGCCCTCAGGTGATCTTTAGTAGCCATGGCCCGTACCAAGCAGACCGCCCGTAAGTCCACTGGAGGCAAAGCCCCCCGTAAGCAGCTGGCGACAAAGGCTGCCCGTAAGAGCGCCCCCTCCACCGGTGGAGTCAAGAAGCCCCATCGTTACAGGTGAGACTGAATGATATTTAAAGATCAACAACATTGTCTTTTGGTACAAGACAGTCTTAAACCCAAGACTGTAAACACACTGCTTTACATAATTTGATCTAAATGTGATTGACATAATAAACATTCAACAGTTCACTTAATTTCACGTTTATGTGTTGTGAAGGCCCGGTACCGTGGCTCTGCGTGAGATCCGTCGTTACCAGAAGTCCACTGAGCTGCTGATCCGCAAGCTGCCCTTCCAGCGTCTGGTGAGAGAAATCGCCCAGGACTTCAAGACCGATCTGCGTTTCCAGAGTGCTGCCATCGGAGCTCTGCAGGTCAGAAAAACAATCAGATCCATACACTTGACCACTGGCTAATGATTGAGAGGATATTAAACCAGAGACAAAGCGGTGTTATAAAACACTATTAATGGCGTACAAATATACAGTGTCGAAAATTCATGTTTATCCATATAAGCACTACTATCATACAATGTTCTGATACACTTCACTCACTTTCCTCAAATTGATGTCTGTCCATATAAGCTCAGACAATGTTCTGCTAAAAGTAAAGATGTAGTTACAGTTCTTTCCTTACACTTGAGACACAAATTCATGTTAAACAAGTTAAAATGTTAATATGTAGGGGAAATAACTATTATTTTATTATTATACTGTGCAAAACGTACATTGGGTTCCATGCTTTAGTCGCAGGGACTAATGAAATCAACCATAAACCATAAAAGACAAACATGACCGATAAAACAATCATTGTTGCTCTACTGACATCCCTGTTCCCCCCCCTGCAGGAGGCCAGCGAGGCCTACCTGGTGGGTCTGTTTGAGGACACCAACCTGTGCGCCATCCACGCCAAACGTGTCACCATCATGCCCAAAGACATCCAGCTGGCACGTCGTATCCGCGGGGAGCGTGCCTAAACACTCTCCTCCTTGTCTTTCTTCCTGCCCTTCCTTCACCAGTCTGCCCCTCCCTCTCTCTCTCCCTCTCTCCCTCCCTCTCTCTCTCTCCCTCCCTGTGTTAGTAGTGTGTAGAGGGATTATATGATGGATAAAGTGTATAGTCGTGTTTTTCATAGTGCTCTCGGCAGCAGAACTATAGGGTACTCTCTTTTTGTGCATGTACCGACTCTTTGGTGATGAGGTCTCCTCGAGCACACGTCTCCTAGTTTGCACTGTCTGTGACGATGTGATGTGAAGGATGTTTTGTGGATAGAATAAGGAAGAAAAAACTAGAACATTGCAAATTCGCTAGGGACAGAGAGGAGGAGAAGATGGGTCTGTGTCTGCTGGGGGTCTCTTCTCTGCAGCAGGGTGCTACATGAACGCTCCCCCCTCCTCTCCTCCTGCGCTCCATCCTCTGCAGGGCGTCAGTCAGGATGGATGATCTGTCCCTGTGTGTGCATGAGCTCTGATCACCACAGCATATTGTATACAACCCATCAGCATCTTTTTGGTCATCATATTGGTTTCATTCATCATGCTAGGTTTGATGTTTTCCATCCAAATGAGTGTCATGCACAGGATTTCTTTTGCCACTTAAAACCATTTGTTGATGACGTGGAGATGGGGGGGGGATACTTCAGAATTAAACACCTACAGAGAACAAAAAAACGATTTGAACTGTTTGTTTTTTTCTACATAAATGTGAAACTCATTTTGGCACCATCCTCTTGTAGACGCTGTGTTCCTACCTGACAGAAGAGTCAGCTGTTGTTGTGGTGTTCAAATTGGTTTCATCTAATTATTTAAAGCCAAAGCTCAAGTTTGCTCAAACAAATACTTTTGTAGCAGTGTTTTATTTTCTAACAACGGACCTTTTTATAACAAAGGTTGGTAAAAGTAAAAACCAAAAAGCTCTCAAAGTGTAAAAACGAATGAAAAAACAACTGATTAAAATGTGAAACTGTACTGTAAATCAGTGTTAAATGACAAATAATACTAGTTGTGTTTTCTGTACACGTCCCCTCCGGATCACTTGATCGTCTGTTTGCCGTTTCTCAGGTTGACTCGTCACCTTTTAACTTAATTTTTTTTTTTGCTCAATTTGATTTCCTGTTTGTCTTTTCTTTTCTTATTTTGAAATGTTGAGAATAATGTTACAATTAAACAATGTTTGTAATTTCCAGATTTGTCATATAAGGTGGTAATAAATGGATGTTACACACACTCTGTCTCAGTGCTTTACGTGGAAATTGTATCTGTTTTTATCATACCCACTTTTATAATAAGACATAACACAGGGTGTCCGCGGGGTCTTAAAAAGTATTAAAAGTTGATAAATCAATTTAGCGAAAATTAAGGCTTTAAAAGTATTAAACGGCATTTTCCAAGGTATTACATTTTGTAGCTTGTTTTCAATAAGTATATGAATTGTCCAAAGAGGTTGTATTCTACAGTCTGCCTGAATGTAATCATTGCGTAGGTGTGTAGTGTGATTCTGTGTAGTTTATTTATGGCATCCCATTGGATTTGACGTCATCTGAACAGGACATCGCGCGCTCACTGCTTGATAGCGCGCGAAGGTCCGTTTACGCCGGTTGTTAAACAACATCGTTATGGGGAAATGCAAGTTTGCGTCCAAATGGTTGGAAGATAAGGAGGAAGGACAATCAATACTGTATATAGTAAATGTGAGGTAAAGTGTGTCGCCAATGTAACCGGTTAAAACTCCAAGTGGCGATGAGGTCTTCAAACGTATGGAAAGGGTCTTAAAAAAGGTCTTAAAAGGTATTACATTTGACTTCAGGATTCCTGCATATACCCTGTAACAATATAAAGCTGAAACCATTTGTAATTCTGTTTTAAATTTTGTTTAAATTAGCGCCAAAAGTTAAACACATTTCTTGTTAGCTGTTACAAAAAGGCAGAGGTTTTTATTTGTATATTCTGTCATCGCCGAAGAAATGCTAAAAGCCTGCACATGTTGACAATCTATGATCAACCTCTCCAAAATACAATGAAATAAAGCATGGTTTGACCCCTCTACTATATCATTAAATATTCAATCATCCTTGATCACTACATTTCTCTTTTACCTATATAAAGTTTCCCCACTAGATGGCAGTAGAGCTTTTTGTATGTTGTGTAATATCTACTGCATACTGACAAATGAAGCTCCTACTGATATTAAATTGGGCTTCAGCTTTAATTTCCATCCCTGTGTCTTTGCTTTTCTCCTTCTAAAAATACACATACACTTACAGGTATTATTATACATTGCTCTTTTGTTATTCTACTAACTCTTAACAATTCATATCTACTTTTACATGTCAAATTACATGTCAAGTATGAACAGGAATTCTACTCTTTACAGTTGTTTTGTCTGATGATACATAGAAGTGATCTGGACAGTTGTTAGGTACCCATCTTCAACACACACACATTTGTGACACTCCAGCATTACAATGAATATCCTTCTGTGGCTCGACATCATTCCCTTCATCAGTGTTTCATTTCATCCTTCTACTTCCTTGATTACAAGGGGATAAAGCCATGCCCTCGGCCATATTCATTACAATGAAACACACGCACACACACACACACACACACACACACACACACACATATATACTAATGTCACTGTGGCCTCGGGTATACTCATTACAATGAAATACACATAGATAAACAAACACCAGCCTTTAATCCTGTTGTTTTGAATGACACACACACACACACACACACACACACACACACACACACACACACACACACACACACACACACACACACACACACACACACACACACACACACACACACACACACACAAAACAAACACTCAGGGTGAGGGTCATTGTTAGTAAGATCACAATTCAGTCACTTCTGATTGATAGTTCGTATTTTTTTAATAGCCACAAATTGAATTGTATGTGTATATGGAGAAATGGCTGCGATATCTATTGTTGTTTCAATCCTATTTTAATACAAAATACATAGGTGGAGGAATTGTCCATGTAAAGGCTTGGTCACCAATATATATTTGTATTTTATCCCTTGAATATTCATTGTCTCTTAGAGTGGGGCCTAGGCGGGACATTTCACCCATTTTTCCAGAATTTCTTTGAGCTTTTAGGGTTCATCTTGCAAAGTAAATCTTATGCAGTCTCAATCATAGCACATTTTAAAGTGCTAAAAACTGTCTAACACTGTGCAGCCGGCCGTTAGTAGTTAGTCGATTTATTGTGGAAGTTGAAACAATACAGATAAGCCGAACAACGTCAATTCAGTCAGTCAAATTACTAGAGTTAGATATATTGCTATTATTGCAAAGGTGTTTAATTTATTACATATAACCCACATATGATGATTTTGTAAACTGTTGAACAATTGCGTCATACTTAATGTAATATAATCTCGTCACAAGTGCATACAGAAATGTACATTTTACCAGAAATAACTTGGTTCTCACAGTTAACCAGATAATTAAACATTAAATGGTTTTCTTCTTTGAATTTGAAAATTAAATCTTAGTTAAACTGCAGGATTACATAGCGGGATATCAAAGAAATGTTTCTTTCAGGATTTGTTCACAAACACTTTGAGTAAACCCTGGAGAAGTATGTGGTATTGTTCTAAATAAGCCTCAATAAGTAGCATGATGGCAAAGTGTGGGACAATATGGAAATATATTTTTCATTCATTTTTATTATGCCAACTAGGAATTAGAGTTGACATTTCTTCGGGTGAAACAGGTCTGTGGTTACTTCACCAAGTCAGTTCAAATCAAACATTATTTACTCTTTTCATACATGAAGGTAAGACAAAGTGCTTCTCAAATCAAAAACATAACAATAAACACGAAAACAACAATCACTCCCGCAGGTAATAAACAGAGTGATTAAAATAAAGAATACTTAATATTAACACACGACTGAATACAACAAGAATAAAATAAGAAGACCGGCTAAAATGAGCAAATCTGATAAATAGCTACCCAAGACATTTAAGACCTTTAAAAACCAATCAAAGTCATTTGAAATCAATTCTGTGCCAAATCACAAGCCAGAAATCCAAATAATAATACTTATATCTTATTTGTATGGCACTTTTCATACACAGGATGCAGCTCAAAGTGCTTAAACAATGTCACAAAACAGAAACACAACTAAAAAAATAAGACAACCCACAAAACTGTCATTATTTGCCACTTTGCTGGTTGTGACTTTTCCCTCAGACGCATGGAGCACCATAGCTTTACGAGCAGCATCACGTGAGAATACACTAATGTGAGTGTATAATAGCAGTAGCTGTCCTAATTGCAGAGCATATACTGGGACCGTACATGTGAACACATCTCTGTGCATAGTTATTTATTTTCCAATTGCGTGTCGTTGTCCTTTGTGTGTGTGTGTGTGTGTGTGTGTGTGTGTGTGTATGTGTGTGTGTGTGTGTGTGTGTGTGTGTGTGTGTGTGTGTGTGTGTGTGTGTGTGTGTGTGTGTGTGTGTGTGTGTGTGTGTACACAACTGTGCGTTCGCCTTCCCAAAGGTCTGCGTTGTGGCGCTCCATCTGTGGCACTCAGGGGATTAAAGCCAATCTGTCTGTCTGCCGCTCAAAGTGCTGACCGTCAAACCAGCACCAGATTAACACAGTGCTGGGATTGGAAGAGGGGGGGGGGGAAGGGAAGGAGGGGGGGGGGAGAGATGGGGTGTGTGTGGAAGAGAGAGATGGATGGATGTTGAGGAAGAGAGAGATGTATGTTGGGGGGAAGATGAGGGGGCAGGTTGAGAGGTCATCCCCAGATTAGTACACAACTGGTACAGTGTGTGTGTCGGTGTGTGTGTGTGGGGGGGGGGAGGGGGCTTATGGACAGAAGGGGAGGAAGGAAGGAAGAGAGACAGATGTACAGTATGTAGTTGGTGGATAGATGGGGGTCGTAATTGGCACACAACTCTGTGGGACGAGTAGTCGCTGAGACAGGAATGTATTCATGTCATTTAGAGTGGAGAACAGAGCAAAGATACACACAGGTAGACGTTACGGCATGTTTATGAAACACCATCACCTGTACATGTTGAGGCTGAGGACTGTACATTTGGGGTACCCTTTACATTTTGCAACACGTAGGTAATTGTACTGTTACACACTGATTGGTGCCACCCATTTGTTTTATTTGCATTTGTAGAGAAGTTAGTGAGGGCTTTTTGTTTGTGTTTCAAAGGACAGATCAGTCAAGCCTTATTGTGTTTTATTAATATCTCTTATTTGGCACAATTATCTTTCTCCGTCTCTTCCTCCCCCTCACTTAAAGAGTTTTGTTGGCATTTTTGGTAAATATGAATAAATATCAGAAACCAATACATTGATTGTTGATTGCTGGATGAAATGTTTGCAAAAGGAAACTCACAATGCACAAAGTGTTTGTTTCTGTCCAGTGTTGAAGGGGCTAGTTCAGGAAAAAGGTCAAAAATGTTTCCCAATAACGTTCCAATATTTTGGAAGGTACCATCCCATTAGAAATAGAAAGGGAGATTAGTATTTGCATATAATAAAAACAAATCATATCAAAATTGTCTGGAGAAAACCCCCAAATGTCAGCTTTGGGAAATTACAAATAAAAAAGTCCTTTCCTTCTTTAATTTCTATGATTAAACATATGATAAAAATGTATTAATTTGGCATCTTTAATTAAACAAGTGACGAAACTCATAAATTACAATATAAATATCTGAAATATAATATATTTCAGGGTTCGCTTGAATCAAACTTTGTACAAAGTGTTGTCCAAACATTTCTGATGGTGTCTCTTCTACCAAAAGGCAACATTTAAAAAGCCTGCCATCACAAAGGAGAGTCGTAATGAACATTAAACATTTGATTTCAACCGCAACAACAACTGCCTTTCCTGGCACTCATTCACAGTGCTGCACAAAAAGTGACAAAAGTCAACTCGGTTTTAAATTACAACGGTTTTGAGGGAAACAAATGTGTTTGTCATGTAACTTAAGTGATGTATGTAAGTTAAGTATGTTATGTATATGATGTAAGTTAAAGGGGACCTATCATGCAAAATGCACTTTTGTACGTCTTTTATACATGAATATGTGTCCCCGGTGTTCCAGGGAACTCACCAAGTGTCAGAAAACACAACCCTCTCTATTTTCCTCCATACCCAAATCTCTAAAAAAGGGGCTGCAACGGATCTGATAAAAACTGATCCAGATTTGAA